TACCTTTTTCCTCCATTTCTCCATCGCCTCCTCCACCTCCTTCTTCACTACTTTCCCCGTGGTGGTGGTATGCCAATTTCCTTCCTCATCGTACCATGCGATTTTTCGTTCCTTCCCCAGCCCGTCCTTCAGCACAACCATACTTTTAGTCCATATGATTTTGATTTCCTGGTGTGAATGCTCGGCGTGCTCTGTGAGGTAATGCTTTGTGTACCCCAATCGTTTCTCCCGCTCGCGCTCCTCCATCGTCAGATTGTTGCGGAAGAAGATCTTGCCGAAAGCGTTCTCGTCAGTAGATAATGCACTCCTCGCTTTCTTCCAAAAGTTTACCTTGGCCGTAACCGTTGGGAACTCCATCACGCCCATTCTGGTAGGATCGGTGCCCGTTGTTACCTTAGTGCGGGCATCAGCACCGTCTCCAAGAAGCCGTTGAAGAAGTTGTTCAAGATGTTGTATCGCTGCTGCCGCCTTCGTGTTTCCTTCGAAACCGAAGGCGATGACCTGCCTGGCACGGGTCTCTTTTTCCTTCTCCTCCTCCGTGGTGTTTTCCCTCCTTCCCTGACTATACCTTCTGTTCCCTCCCACTGTTTTAGGTTGTTGGTCCTGAAGTGTGTCCTGGAGCTTATCTTCGATAATCTGCTCAATCTGCTCCTTGGTGAGGTACACGTCGTCGAGGTCGGTCCGGATCCCCTCCATCTCCATCTCCATCTCCTCCATCTTCTCCTGTACCTCCTCCGCCGCCCTCCTTGCGTCCTGAGCCTCGATCCGTGCTTGGTCAATCAGGCCTTTGACACTGTTCATCTCGTCTTTTATCATCTTGGTTTGCCGGGCTTCGTATTGTTTGAAACAAGTCGGTGCATCCTCCAATCCACTGCTGCTGCTGCTTCCCTTGCTCCCTGGTATCATCTCATCCTCGGGCCCCCCAGCTCCGATTTCCGCGTCAACGATCTCCTTCATAATGTTCGGTTTTGCCTTCTGTCTCTCAGGAGTCGAGCCTGTTTTTGTACCAGAACGCTTACCTTTAGCACTGTCCATTCCTGCCCAGCTCGGCGCCACGAACGTGGAAGGAAATGAGTTCGTGAAAGAAGACAGGTAGGTTGTATAGAGTATGCTCTTGAAAGCGGCGGGGGTGACGCCCCCCCGACGCTTTTCAAGAAACTCGGGGTACGGATGCCACGCGTGGCGTACTTGGCACGGGCGGCGCACCTCGCAGGCGTCGCGTGCGAGCGTCGAGCATATGGTGTCTGTTGTGGTTCCTACTGGCTGTCCATGCAATGGCGACGTCTGGCTATGCCGAGACTCGGCTGCTACTCATGCGGCGGGACGGCGGGTGGGAATGAGCGAGAAGGCTTGCGGGGGCAGAATGGGCAGATTGATTTAACAGTTCCTCATTAATATACACCCCCTCCCCACCCGACCGGCGACAAACCTGGAACAATGCGGGCAATCCCCACCATCCGTCAAAAGGCAATGCAAAGTGCACAATGCGGCAAGATCTGGATCATGCGCGGAAGCCCCGTGAACACTTTGCATAGGTTCTTGACAGGGACGGCGGGGGTGCCCTCATATTGTCCGCCATGTGCAAGCCTCCCATCTTCGCCAAAACACCATGTGAATTACATGTTGCACCAAAATGTAGACCGTGCGCGGGCGCCCCGTGAGCACTTTGCATTGGTTGTTGGCAGGGACGGTGGTGGTGACCTGAACTGTTTGCTCAGCGCAGACCCACCATCCCTGTCAAAAAACAATGCTAAAACACTGCGTGGCAAAACCTGGTTCAAGCGCGGGCGCCCCGTGATCACTTTGCATGGATTGTTGACAGAGGGTGCGGCGGGGGTGTGCCCTCATATTGTCTGCTCTGTGCAGACTCACGATCCCTGCCACAAAAACCATGCACACCGCACATTGTGGCAAAATCTGAATCATATGCGGGCGCCCCGCGATCACTTTGTGCTGGTTTTTATCCGGGACGGCGGGGGGGCCCTCAGGTTGCCTGCTCTGTGCCTCCGACAGGATTCATGAAGTCAGTGGGATCGGCGCCCTGGAAGAGCGGGTGGGAGTGAGCGACACCGCTTGATGCTTGGGGGCAGCTTGAACTATTATAGAAACCCCATCCCCCCCCCCGACCGGCGACCCACCCGGGGCCATGCCGACCCCCCCACACCATCCTTGTCCAAAAAAAAACTGCAGTAGAATCTGGATCATGCGCGGACGCCCCGCGATCACTTGGCATTTCTTTTCGACAGGGAAGGCGGGGGTGGCTGCATCTTGCAACAATACAAAGCGCACTTTGAACCAAAATGTGGATCATGGGCGGACGGCCAGCGATCACATTGCCTTGGTTTTTGACAAGGATGGCGGAGGGGCCAGCAGATCGCTTGCTGTGTGCAGGCCCATCATCCCCGCCAAAACAAAATACAACATTCATTTTGCCAGGGACGGCGAGTGGGGGGCGACATACTGCCTGCTGTGCGTGGGCCCACCATCCCTGTCAAAAAACAAATTCCAAAAAAATAGCGGGTGCCCACCCACACACGATAAAGAATGCTCGGGAACCCGCCGTCATTTTGAACTTGTTTTTGACAGGGACGATGGGAGGGTCGACGTCTGGCCCAATGTGGCGCACCTGGTGCGCGTGAAGGGCAGCTGGCATGTGCATCACTGCCCCTTATGAATGTACACCCCCCTTTCACCTAACCGGCGACAAACCAGGGCAATGCCGAACCCCCTGTCGACACCCCCCCGCCCTCCCTGTCAAAAAACCATGCAAGCACACATCGCGGCAAGTCTGGACTGTGCGCTGGCGCCCCGCGATCATTTTGCTTTGTCTGTTGACAAGGACGGCAAGGGGACCTTCATATTGTCGGCTAAATGTAATAAGCCCGCCATCCCAATCCAACAAAATTCAAAATACACTCTGCATCAAAATCGGGGAACGGGCTCTTCTGGAAGTCCCCTCGGGGGAATCCCAGAACAGCCCGGCCTCCAAAATCGTGGGTCATGTTCGGGCCTCCACAGCGCGCATATTGCTTGCTGTGTGCAGGCTGGGAACAATGCTAACACCCCCACATCCCCCGCGGCAAAAAACAACGCAAAATTCACTTTGCGGCCCATGTGCAGAAGCACTGCGATGATTGTCTTTTGTTTGTTAACAAGGATGGCAAGGGTGCCCGCATATTGTCTTGAATACGTGCGCCGACCATCCTTGTCAAAGGCCAGTGCACAGTCACTCTTGGTGCACACAAAATCCTTCATGCTGACCACCCCGTCGCACGCGCTGCGCGCCCCGCACACGTGTCGCACCTGGCGCGGGTAGAGCACGTGGCGCACCTGGCGCATAGGGAGCCCGCGGCGAGAGTCGCGCACGTGGCGTCCGTGTTGGTTCCCATTGGCTGTCCTGTCAACGGCGACCCCTGGCCATGCCGAGACTCGGGTGCTACTGATGCGGCGGGAGGGCGGGTGGGAGTGAGCGAAACGACTTGCGGGGGCGGAGTGGGTAGCTCGACCACTGTTCCCGTCAGATAACACCCCTCCCCCAGGCGACCTGCAGCCAACCCAGACCAATGAGAGCAACCCACACACACAAGCCCTTGTAGAAAACAATACAAGATGCACTTTGCCTCCAAATCTGGAGAATGCGCGGGCGCTCCGTGACCACTTTGCATTGGTTTTTGAAAAGGACGGCGAAAGTGCAGCATATTGCTTGCTGCGCGCAAAACAACCATCCCTACCAGAAACTAATACAAAATACACTTTGGCTCCAAATCTGGAGCATGCGCAGGGCCCTTTTTTCTCTTAGCTCTAATCTGTTTCACGACCCCTCAAGATGTCACAAATTGTCCATCGGTGCTGGTGTTTTGCGTTTCCTGGAGGGGCCGCCCTTCTCACAGAATGCTCGGCACTTCACTTCAAGGGGATTCAAGATCCTGAACTCCTTGGGGCCAGGGCCCCAGGCACATGGGGTCCCTATTGGTTCCCCGTAGCTGGCGCTCCTGGCGCGGCTGGAGCACGTGGCACAGTTAGAGCACGTGGAGCAGGTGCCGCACCTGGCACGCTTGGGCCTCCAGGTTGCCTTATGCACCTGGAACCCGTGTCGCGCTTGGCATGTGCGGCGTTCCTGGGCGATCTACTGATACTCGAGTGTTACTTATGTGTTGGGAGGGCGGGTGGGAGTGAACTAGACGGCATGCGATCTAGGAGGGTAGCTTGACCCGCATCCCTACCCCTGGATCTGGACGGGGGGGGCCGCGAAGCTTCGGAACGTCCAAGAACAGCCTTAGCGAGAAAGCAAAAATTCGCCGGCCCAACGGGCCAGAGGCGTGCTAAGATCTCCAGAAACTGCTTTACATTATTTCTACTTCGCGCGCGCAGGGCGGCCCCTGGGGGTCCCCAGACGAAAAATACCCCGGCCAAGTCCCCAACCAGGTCCCTTCCAGGTCCCGGCCGGCTCGGATCAGATGGTTTTCCTCCGTTCAGGCTTTCAAGACCGCTCATAGAGGGCCCCAAGAAGCCCTTAAGACGGTCCGGCGTTGGCCCAATAGGGCCACTTGACCCAAAGGAGGGGGACCCTAGACAGGTCCGAGGGCCTTCACTTCCGTTTCTACCTGCTGCCGCCACGAGCTTTTCCCCAGCCAATCTCTCACTTCGTGGCTACGTTTATGATGGATGCTTTGATGCCTCTCCTTTCTTCTCCACCTCCTGTCTGCTTACTTTTACAGCTTACCCCTGTCTGCACGTTAACACGTGCGTCGGCGGTGGCCCCTGAAGCGGTGCTCCAGGGGTCACCTGGCCCTGGTTGGATCAACCCCCCTCAGGGCCGACCAGCCCTGGGGGGGAGGCTGCGAACAACGTTCCTTCCAGCCGCCAGGAACCAGGAACCAGGAACCAGGAACCAGGAGAAGGAGGAGGAGGAAGAAAAGGAGGAGGAGGAGGAGGAGGGCAGATTCATGAGATCCGCGCGGCCATTCGGAAGTGCAAAAACCGCTTCCTTTCCCACGAGCCTCGGAGGCGCCGGCCCGCCTCTGGCGGGCCTCCTCCGCGTGCTCCTGCCGCCAGCGCTCGAGCTCCTGGGCCAGGCTGGCGGCGTCGCCGGCGGCTTTGGCCGCGGCGGCCTCCCGGCGCTCCCGCTCCCTGGGGAGGTTTCTACGTTTGGGCAGTAACCCAGGTCATGCTGCGGGGGGGGAGGGAGGGCGGCACTAGGTAATTAACCTGACCTTTTCGCTCTGGGCAGCCCCACGTATGCCCGCGCGCACCAGTGCTGCGTACCCCCGTCGGACCTGCGCGACCGACAAGGTCAGGTGATCCCGGGGTGGCGGGCAAGATTTATATCTATATCCAGTGTGGATTAGACTTTCTGGGAAGGGGCGCCAAAACGCCGAGGCGCACTGGATATGGACAAAAATCGAAACTCTTGGAGCCGAATCCCACCAGCCCTCTGGGCGTCGGTGGTTTAGGGAGTTTCCTCTTCCACCCCTCCTTCCCCTTCGGGGAGGGGTTTACCCCTCCCCCATCCCCCTTCCCCTGGACCTGGACAGGGGGTTCCACGAGGTGTCGGAGCGTCCAAAACGGCCTCGGCGAGGAAGCCCAAATCATTGGTTTTTCCAGGGTTTGGGCCCCGTTTGGGCCTCCTGAGGGGGGGGGCCTAATTAAAGATCCCCTCTTGTTTGATCGATCTCCTCCAAGATGGCCCCAAGAAGCGCCCAGGAGGCCCCAAGAGGTCCCAAGATGGCCCCAAGATGGCCCCAAGAGGCCCCCAAGAGGCCCCCAGGAGGCCCCCAAAAGGACCCCAGCAAGCGGCCCAAAGAGGCCCCCTCGAGGCACCCAAGACGCCGAAGAGCCCCCCACGACCGCCAAGAGATCCCCAAGACGTCCCAAGACGCCCAAGAGATACCCCGAGAGGCTCCGAGAAGCATCCAAGAGACCTCTGGCCCTTTTGCTTGCTCTCCTCCTCCTCCTCCTCCTCCTCCTCCTCCTCCTCCTCCTCCTCCTCCTCCCTCCTCTCCTCCTCCTCCTCCTCCTCCTCCTCCTCCTCCTCCTCCTCCTCCTCCTCCTCCTCCCTCCTCCTCCTCCTACTCCCTCCTCTCCTCTCCTCCTCTCCTCCTCCTCCTCCTCCTCCTCCTCCTCCTCCTCCTCTCCTCCTCCTCCTCCTCCTCTCCCTCCCTCCTCCCTCCTCCTCCTCCTCCTCCTCCCTCCTCCTCCTCCTATCCCTTCCTCCTCCTCCCCTCCGCCTCCTCCCTCCTCCTCCTCCTCCTCCCTCCTCCGCCTCCTCCCTCCCTCCTCCTCCTCCTCATCCTCTTCATCCTCCTTCTCCCCACTCCATCATCTGGGCTTCTGGGGAAGGGAGCCCGAAACTCCAAGCTCCAAGTCTTGCCCGCAGCAGGGGGGCGGGCGAGCCCGATTGCCCAGGTTATCGCTGGACCCTTCCAAAAGCAGTCTCCTGGCGCACTCCGACCGCCACTCCTCCGCCTCGGAGGCCAGCGCCGCGGCGGCGCCCGCCGCCCTGGCCGCCGCCGCCTCGGCGGCCTGACCCTGCTCCGCGAGCCCGTCCCGGGCCTCCTGTTTGGCGGCGCGCACAAGTGGGTAGGGGGAGGGGGGAAGGTTTCTCAGAAGGAAGCTGCCTCTCAGAAGGCGCAAGCCCCACATCTATAGATAAGGCCTGCGCCTTCTAAGGAGCAGGGTTGCTTCTGAGAAGCCTTCACCCCCTCCCACTACCTCCCTCTGCGCGTGGCTGACCCTTGGCAAGGGGGGGAGGAGCTGCCGACGCCGCTGCTCGCTCTGAAGGGCCCCCGCCGCCGCGCCTGGATGTATCCATTTTCGGAATCCTGATCAGAGCGCGCCCAGGAAGTGGGCCCGGGAGCAACGCGATCGGCGCATCGTTTTGTGCCCCGAGGTGTCCCTGGCCCACGGTGCCCCCAGGGCGTCCGAGAACGATATAGATCGCCAGGGCGGAAGGCGACCCTAAGCCCTACCCAACCAAGGGCCTAGGGTAGCCTAGGGCAGGCCCTACCCAAGGGCCTAGGGTAGCCTTGGGTAGGCTCCATCCAAGGGGCTAGGGCAAGGGCAAGGGTAGGCCCTACCCAGGGGCCCAGGGCAGAGCAAGGGTAGGGCCTACCCAAGGGCCTAGGGTAGGGCAAGCGTAGGGCCTACCAAAGGGCCCAACCTCTGCGGGGCTAGGGGCAAAGCCTAGGGCAGCCTTAGAGGCAGTCCTGGGGCAACGTCTAGGGTAGCCCTAGGTTTATCCTTGTAGGCCCCAGGGTAGGCCTAAGGAAGGCCTTGGACCCCAGGGGGCCCAAAATGAAGCGAAAAGCGTTGGCACACCTTAGGGACCCAGACCCCCGACGTCGACCCCTGGAGGACTCGACCCATTCCCTGGACCCGCGTTCCATCCTGAGCCTCTTTCTGACGGTCCCGGGGCCCGGCGAGGGCCCCCGAGAACCTTCCGTCGCGACTCCTTCCCGACGCGAGGGAGCCCAGGGGGACCCCGTCCTGCAGCCTCGCGGCCAGCTCCGCCTCCTCGCCGCGCGCGCTCGAGGCCTCCGCCTCGCGGCGGCCCCGCTCGCCCGCCAGCTCCACGCGCCACCGCGCCACCTCGGCCGCGTGCGCGCTCGCGGCCGCCTCGGCCTCCTGCGCCGCCTCGCGGCCACGCCCGGCCTCCTCGGCCAGCTCGTCGCGCAGGAGGGAGGCGGCGCGGGACGCGCGGGCGGCCTCCTCGCGGCGGCGCGCACGACGGGCCCAGCTCTCCGACGATCCGAGCTCTGCCCTCTGGGCGCTCTTCCTCGGTCTCGGCCCCCGGGGACCATCGGAAAGAGGTCCGGGACGAAAGACTCCCCCCGGGGGGAAGGGGTCGGGACCTCCCTGGCCGCAGAGGGACATGCCAGTACTGTGCGCCCCCCCTCGGAGGCTCACGCCCGAGACGACGAGCGCATGACGCGAACATCGTAAGGTAGATCAACGCCCGGGCGCAGTGGCCAGACAGCGCCCGGCACCGAGCATATACCACCAGATCTCGGAGCGCGCGCGTCGCCCCTGGGGGACCGACGCACGCACAGCACATGATATGACGTAGCTCGAAGGGTGCTGGCACGAGCCCAGACCTCTGACGATCCGAGCTGCTTACGGCCCCTGGAGCCCCGGGACCAACAAAAAGATCAGGGACGAAAAAGTACCCGGGGGAAGGGGTCAAGACCGATGGGGCCGTGCATTGAAAAAACGCGCCGCCGGGTGTCTGGGAGGGGGCGGCGCGAAGGGACTTCTTGAAAGGCGGGGGCCTTCTCAGAAGAGCCCCGGGGCGTCCGAGAAGCCTCCATGGAAGCCGCGAAGGGCTTCGGGGAAGCCCCCACGCCTTCCAGTAGCTCTCCCGACCCCCCCCCCCCGCGTTACCCTCGGAGATCCAAGGCCTGGATTTTGTCGCAGCGAGGCCCCCGGAGGCCCTGACCCTCTCCCGGGGGGGCAGCCTTCCCGTCCCGAGCCACTTTCCGACGGCGGTCCTGCGTGGACCCCCAGAGGCCGAATCCAGCGAAAGACCCCATCCGCCCTGAGTCTTGCCTCGCGCGCTGGCTGAGGGGCGACGGTAAGGGGGGGGAACCAGCTCAGGGGTATCGACCGGGAATCGGCGATACGTCGCCGACAGATCGGCAATAGGCCCCCGACAGCGAACCCATGTGTTCCTGGGCAGGGTGGAGCTGTCGGGCTCCTATCGGCGATCAGTGGGCGATTGGGGGTGGATGCATCCCCCCTGAACCTATGCCCCCCTGCCGCGGCGGCGACCCTGTTCGCCTCGGCCCTGTTCGCCGCCGCCCCCTTCGCCCAAGATCCTGTTCGCCGCCTCCCTGTTCGCCGCCACCCCCAGGGTCTGGCAACCCACACCCATACCCATACCCAGACTTCCTCTCTCCGACCCCGCTATTATAGGTATAGGTGTGTGTGTGTTGTTCGTTCGTCAGAGTAAGCCCAGACGGAGGCCGAGCACTCCGTGCGGACTTGCTCCGCGCATACTTGGCATCCTCCGAGTGCGACAGGGGACCAGCTTGCCCAGCACGCCGCACGCCGGCGGCCCGCCCGCCCCCCCCCCCCCCCCCGAGCGCGCCGCTGGTCCTCTGCGGCCTGCACCTCGCGCCGTTGCACCTCCGCGGCATGCTCCTGCTGCAGCCGCGCCGCGCCCGCGCGCTCCGCGGCCAGGGCCTCGGCCTGAGGGGGCGGGGGGGCGACAGGAGAGGCCTGGCTCCAGGAGGCAGCGGCAGAGTCCAGGAGGAGGCAGGAGGCCCAAGGAGCATGCTGGAAGAGGCCCGAGGAGGAGGAGGAGGAGGAGGAGGAGGAGGAGGAGGAGGAGGAGGACAGCGTACAGGGGGGGTCAGCTCCACCCTAAGAAGAAGGCGCGGCGGCGCCTGGAGTCGACGCCGCACGAGTCGCGGTCGTCGACGGGCACGTGTGGGCGGCGACGTTGGCCGCTGTTTCAATCAGAGGCGGCAGGGAGGCCGCGCCAAAATGATGGACAGACGTGGAAGAAATCAGGTGCTGGTGATGTGCCGCAAGGGGAGAAGCAGGGGAGGAGCAAGCAGCAGCAAGAGCAGAGCTCAAAGGAGCGACGGACGAGGTGGGGAACGGGGAAAGCGCCGGCGGCATCGCGATCTTCGAGGGAGGGGAGCAGGGGGAGACGGCAGAGGGCAGCCGCAGGGAGGGCTCAAGGGACGAGGGAGGCAGAACGGGCGGGAGGGCAGGCGTGGTGCCGAGCGTGGGAGGACAGAGCGGGGCGTGCGGGGCAACAGAAGGCGCGTGGGGCGACCAGGTCGGGGGGGGAGCAAAAGAAGACAGAGGGGCAGTCGAAAAGATACATCGACGGGAGGGCCTGAAAGGCGAGCGCTCAGGGCGGGAGGGGGTCCACGACGCGGACCGCGGGGAGGGAGGAGATAGCCTCAGGGAACTCGGCGTCGCCGAGGTTGCACGACCCGTGGAAACGCGAGAGGAGGGAGTCGCCGTTCGAGAGGCACATGGGGTAATCGGGGTCGACGGGCTGGCCATCAGGGCACAAGGAGAGCGAGAAGAAATCCCAAGAGATGTCATCGAAGAGCATGAAGCCATTGGAGCACAGGGCGCCGAGAGAGCAGCAGCACGCACGGGAGTGGTCGCCAGAATACATCCTTGACGAGAGCGCCGCACGACCAGAGACGGCACAGAGCCAGAGACCCTCCCCTCGCGATTTACTCTAGTCTGCGGCATAGGGTTCGAGGAGCACCCCTGCGCAGGACATTGCGTTCTGACTGCCGTCCACCAGTGAGACCACTCCTCGCAATTCACTCTAGAAGCCTGGAACGACGGGCTCGAGGAGCACCCGTCGCCAGGACTTTGCGTTCTAACCTCCCTAGTCTCACCTCCAGATGATAGCCGCAGTAACTCCTCGCAATTTACTCTTGATGCCTGGACACCTGGGCTCGAGGAGCACCCATTGCCAGGACTTGGCGTTCTGACATAACCAGCTCTCCCCCACCGCAGTGATGAGGGTTCGAGGCCGTCGAGGTCGTCGTCGAGGCCGTCGATGTCGGCGAGGCCTCTGGGGGGAGTCGCAATCAGCGTCGTTGGAGTACCAGGTGTGGAAGGAGTAGAGGCACTGCCGTCATCGGTGTGGACCGTGGGGACAAGCCGCGGGGTGAGACACGGTGATTGACTATCATTCCTGCCCATGCCAGGTCCAGAGCACCATTCTTCATCAGTGTCGTCGCGGGGCTCGCTGTCCGAGGTCTGGTTCAACGATGTGTGTCCATGACTGCCAGCAGCCACTCCATCACCGTCATTGGGATCTCCAGGTTGATCGGGATGCAGCCCATCGTCCTCGACGTCGCTAGATGTGGTCGAAGAGGTCGTCGTGGGTTGTGGTAGGCGGCGGAGGATCAGTGCCTCCGGAGGCTGCCATTTCTTTTGCAATTGAGCGTCTGGCTTAGCCAACCTTAGGTTTCTGACTGCAGCACGCGCACTTGATCGAAGGTCATTGGCGGTGACGTACAGACGAAAGCGCATATTGTGGTAGATGTTGAAGGCAACCGCCAAGGTTTCAACATGCTTGAGGCCAGGGAGCCGGAGCCCTAGGCGGTCAGGAAGGAGCGGATGCATCTCATATCCCAGCGCTTGGTACACAGCTGTCCACAACGGACGACATCGCATGTAGTGGTACTGTCGATCGGCATGCGCACGGCAACCAAAGATACACGAGCGGGAGCCTCCAGCATACTTTATGCGCGAGGAGGTAAGCCATCCAGAGCAGTAAGTTTTGATGACTGGCATGGCCCAGCTCATGGGAACCAGCGAGAGAAGTCCACCAATCTCTGTCCACGCCACCCGATCAAGAAACGGCTCCCATTCATTTACATATTTCAGGAGACGTCGCTGCACCAACGAAGCAAGTGGGAAGGGGGTCACTAGCATCTCCCGAAGAGCACGTGTGGCTGCACGTTGAGGCTTGGGCTTCCTGTCGGTGACCTGGAGCTCCTGGGCGATGGCTTGCACGCACGTGTTATTGATCTCGGGAGGGTAAGCCGCCTCTCTGCCTGACTGGAGAACCGATGCATATCCCAGCAGGAACGACGGGGATTGCCAGTGTGTACCAATATGGTCAAGTGCATCTTCACGTGCTCGAATCGCCGCCAGTGGCGCATCATCATATCGGCCCTCCATGAGTGAATATCTCCATTCAGACTCAATTTGTCGGAAGCGATCAAGAATGGTAGTGTGATTAGAGAACGTGACTAATGCAGCTCGAGCATACGCAGCAGCGCACGAGTGAAGCAGCAGGGGGACATGAGGGCCACCCCATTCGCCAAGTTGGGCCCAGCCAGCCGAAGTGAGCATACCAAGGGGGGCTCTGAAGACCTGCGCGAGAATCCCCAGTTCCAGAGCAGCGTGTCGTTGAGGGAGCGGAACAAATTGGGCCACATAGGAGACCACTGAGAACACCCTGGACGAGTACAGCACACCGTTGATACTAGCGGGGGCAGCCCCAGACCCAAGCAGACGGGCCCGTAATTTGAGCTTCTGCAGCGGTGCGAGCCACTGCATGTCAACTGTGACGGCGGGGCCCAGCAGGAGGCCCAGGTAGAGGACGTGGGAAGCCACTTCGAAGGCGCGCCAGGCAGGGACGAGGCACTCCACGAGAGACATAGTGTGGAGCTGGAGGGACTCGGTGAACTCCCCCTTGAGCGGGACGATTTTGCACTTCATGGGCTTAAGCTTCAGCCCTGTGAGACACTCCGTGACCACCATCACATCATACAGCACCTGGAGGTGCCTTGCTTCATACACCACCGCTCCTATATCATCAGCACACGCTCGAGCAATACCATATCCAGGAGTCTCCAGGGTGTCCTCCAGCACCGAGAGAAAGGGGGCCGTGCCGAGGGCGTAGAGGCTCCCTGAGAGCCCACACCCTTGAATAATCCCAGAGCGCAGCCAGTATATAGGGATAAGTTGGCCAGCGTGGGCCACAACTCCTTGGATCGCTAGGTACAGCCACGAGAGGAACCACATGAGGGGCCCAGGGAGCCCGAGCTTATTCATCAACATCAGCAGATACTCTTGGGAGAGACTGGGGAACGCCTGACCATAATCAAACGAGATCAGGAGGGGGTCGCACAGGTCGGAGCGAGGGTGAGCTGCGGCAAGCCTTCCTATGCCGTCGAGTTCGATCACATTGTATCCGAAGTTACGGCCGACCACAAACCCCCTTTGCGAGCATGGAACCACCTCCTCCACCACTTTACGGAGAGAGCGGTTGACAACAGAGGTCATGATTTTCAGGTCGGTGTTTCGAAGCCCGAGCACTCGAATTTTGTCAGCTGACCGCGTACAGCCTCCAGAGGCCTCGTCCTCCTCCTCTGAACCTTTGTGCAAGAAGGCCTGCAACGTGACACTCGCGGCATCGAAGAGGGTCCCCCCGCCGAGCACCCAGTCGAGGGTGTTGCACAAGACGTCGACGCAGCAATCAGAGGCATTCCAGGCAGCATAGGGGATGCCGTCCACACCTGGGGCAGAGTGCCGTGCACCTCGCACAGCTCGACGGATAGCAGCTTTAGTGGGAGGTGGGACTTCGCATTGGATGGGGACTTTCAGGCGCTGCTGGAGGTAGGCCTCTACGCGGGGGCCTGGGACAGAGCCTCGGGAGAATACAGGGCGCCAGTAGGTACTCAAAGCTTGAAACCGATCTTCAGGCGAGTGTGATAGGACGGGCCCGGACCGAACCGTCTGCAAGATGAGTCGGCGAGAGAAAGGGGCCCAGATGGCTGCCTTCCGTTCCAATAGCTGCTGACGACGGCGGGCGGAGATGGGACGGTGAGAGGCAGAGAGACCAGCGGCATGATCGGCATTGGCTTGCAACTCTTTTTCCAGAAGCCGCATGTGGACTCCGTCTGACCAAGAATGAAATGATTCAGCATGCCGAAGACGAACTTGTGAGCCTTCAATTTGCAGCGAGTATGATGCCCACTGCGATGTCGAAATAAGTCGCCGAGCCAGCGGAACGTCCTGTCGCCAGACGGCTCGGGCGCAGCTGCGGGCCACGATGATCGCCGTCTCATCACTCTCCGCCTTCAGCGTGAAGAGCATGTCGCGCACCTCCCGCGCAGCCTCTTTGAGCATCTCTTTGAAATGCTCCTGATAAACAGAGCCAGCATGTGCAGTAATAGCATTCTGGCCATCAGCAACCATCCCCTCGATACGCTTCTTGAAGAGCGGGTCATGGAAGATGTGCCGCGGAATAGCTTGTTCTCCGCGAGGCTTGCGATGTCGCTGGCGCAACGTTGTCACCAGCGCGGCATGATCAGAAATTTGAGCACGGGACAACTCCTCTGGCTCACCGACCGTGGTGGATTCAGCATGTACCTGGCATAGCATCCATCCTGGTAGCGAGCAAAAGAACCTGTCAATGCAACTGACAGAGTTGGTGTGCTTCGTATAGTGAGTAGCCGCCGACGATGAGACTTCAAGGAGCGCCCCCAGAGAGCGTAGCCAACGGGCAGCTTGGGCACGATGATTCCGAGGATCAGAAGCACGCGAGGGAAGCGGGCGGTGGAGCACGAGGGCTTCGTCGGGGCCGAAATTCAGGTCGCCTTGCACAATGACCAGGTGGTGGGTAGGGTCAGACGCCGCCGCGACCCGATACCTGTCGATCTGCTCACAGACCATGTCAACCTGGGTGTTTGTGAGGCCGTGGTTGTGTATATTGAAATGCGTCAACTGAAAGCCACGTCGATGCACATCAACTTGCAGGACCCTTCCTGGGATGAGCGGCGTGGCGCAGCTAGACGATGCTCCGTCAAGAGCGAGTCGAGGAAGAATAGTAGCGACACCTCCCGCACCCGATCCCCCTTGATCGACTGCACAAAATGAGGCGTGGACTACAGCATGGGCATGGGCCTGGAGCACGAACTGCTCCAGTTGGACACGATCGGCATGAACTTCCTGCATCGCCAGCAACGTGGACTGCAAGTGAATCTGCTGTAAATATCGTAACTTGGGGATAGCCTTCGCACCTTGGTACTGCAGGAGCGCCCTCGCGTTCCAGGTAGCACATCTCAGAGCGGAGCCTCCATCTCTGGATTGAGGAAGGTTGAACATCTGCATCATCTCGTTAAAGGCACCACTGCGGCGGCGGTGGTGGTGCGATGGTGGACTGAACCAGCTCACGGACCTCGTGCTTGGCGATGCCGACTTCACTGAGGCCCTCGTCGTTGTAGAGGATGTCGAAGGGCTGGTCGTCGGGCTGGGCGGAGAGCTTGAGGATGTGCGTCCACCCGCAGCGGAGGACACCACGCTCCCTGTCCACGACCCAGCGTCCGTCATATTTGCCAGCCATGGCCGTGCGAAGCTTCCTGAGCGCCACTTCCGTTTTAATTTGTTTTGGATTTTTGTCTGGTCCGAGATGGAGACGAGCGGGAGTAGAGCCTGACACATCAGCCTCGAAGATACGCCATTCATCGTTCTGCCTGAGATTGGATAAGACTTTGTTGACATACTTGGACGCGAGCCCCACACTGCCGTTGAATGAGACGAGGTACCTTCTGCTTGGCATCGGACCGGTGGACTTGATAGAGTATGACGATGCTTCCAAGCCCAACTCCGCCAAGAAGGGGGTAAGTGATGCACGCACAGACTCAATCCCAACCATCTTCGTGGCCATGGCAACGACAACCGAGGGGTCTTCCACGCGATCGAAGGAGGGCGGTGCCGTGGGAGCCTTCTCGGTGCGCTTGGCGACCATGAGCTCGCCGCGGAGCTCCTCCATCTGCTTACGTAGGTTGGCGATGTCTGCAGTGTGCTTCTCCACATCAATCGAGAGCGTGTTGACGTGGGAGCCGAGGGAGTCAATCTTGGATTGTAGGCCGCGGTGAATGGAATCGATGTGTGGGCGAACAGTGGCCATAATCTGCTGGTCGACTTCTTTCGGCTGGGCCGTGATCTGGACGCGCAGAGATTCCAGTGTGTCGAGAATAGATTTGTTCGAAGATTGCACAGTTGCGCCGACGGTAGATCCAACCAGAGATTCCAGTTCGGACCGTAGTTCTCCAAACTGTTCAGCAACTGCGTTTGCTGCGACGTGCCTGATATAGTCATCATCATATTGAGGCTGCTGTAGTGGAGGCTGGGCAGGGTCACGATGGGCACCAGCAGGGGACGAGCCAGGAGTACACTGAGAATCGCCACGACCGCCGAAAAGAGCGGAGCCGACAGCCCCCGCCGCGCGGGCAGCCATGCCTGCGACTCCTTTGCCACTGGTGTTGCCGCCTTTGCCGTCCTCGGTGCGCGGGTACTTGTGCTCAGGCGAGCCGCGATCATGACGGCCATCAGCATGATCATCCTCAGGAAAGGTGGGCATGTCATCGAGCTCCTGGGCAACCTTGGCGAGCGAAGCAGCATCGGGAAGCCCCATGGTGACAGCGGCGCTCGACAGCACAGGAACGGGAAACACCTCCGTTTACCCGTGGAGGCGAGCGGCAGGATGAGGGAGAAACTCTGCCAGACCGCAAAGGGTCTTGCCAGCCGCGGACTAGCGGTATCCACTTGTTCCCCTGTGGAACCTGGCATCTTGAGCCAAAATGGCTACGGAGGAGGAGGAGGAGGAGGAGGAGGAGGCTCGAGGAGGAGGAGGCTCGAGGAGGAGGAGGGGGAGGGGGAGAAGGAGGGAGGAGGAGAAGACTCGAGAAGGAGGAGGACGAGGCGGCAGAACGAGGACGAGGACGAGGACGAGGAGAGGGGGAGGGGGAGGGGGACGAGGAGGAGGAGGAGGATAATATTGTATGGTATGATTTGATACGATACGATACGGTATGATATGTGTAATGTGGTATGGTATGGCATGAGTTGATGTGAGATGAGCTGGTAACACATGGCATGATATGGTATGATATGATATGATACGATACGACACTAGATAATAGGTCATGGTTTAATATGATGGTATGCCATGCATGTGATATGGTCTGATATGGCATGACATGGAATGGTGTAATACGATATGCTATGAAAGTATGAACCTGGCAAATTCCCCAATCAGAGCTTGCCTCTGTAGAGGTCCTAGCGGATTCATATGGTTAGGTGAGATGCGTCGCCGATTTCGGTGGCGGGCTCGGGTGCCCGGGTGCCTGGGTGCCCGGGTGCCCGGGTGCCCAAGTGCCCGGGTGCAGGGGTGACCGGGTGCCCAAGTGCCCGGGTGCAGGGGTGACCGGGTGCCCGGGTGCCCGGGTGCCTGGGAGCCCAGGTGCCCAGGTGCCCGGGAGCCTGGGAGCCCAGGTGCCCAGGTGCCTGGGTGCCCGGTAGCCCTATAGCGCTATAGCCTTATATCCCTATAGCCTTATAGCCCTATAGCCCTATAGCCCTATAGCCCTACAGCCCTATAGCCCTATAGCCCTATAGCCCTAATAGCCCTATAGCCCTATAGCCCTATAACCCTATAGCCCTACAGCCCTATAGTCCTATAGCCCTAATAGCCCGAAGAGCCCTATAGCTTCCTAGCCCTACAGACCTATAGCCCTATTGTCCTGTATCCCTATAGTCCTACAGCCCTATAGCCCTATAGCCCTATAACCCTATAGTCCTATAGCCCTATGGTCCTATAGCCCTATAGCCCCATTGCCCTATAGTCCTATAGCCCTATGGCCCTATAGCCGTACAGCCATATAGCCCTGTAGCCCTATAGCCCTTATAGCCCTGTTTACCATTGCCTTGTAGCCTTATAGCCCCTATAGCCCTATAGCCCTATAGCCATATAGCTCTATATGCCTATCGCCCTATAGCCCTACAGCCCTATAGACCTCTAGCCCTATGGTCCTATAGCCCTATAGCCCTATAGCCCCATAGCTCTAAGCCCTGCAAAGATTATGTTTGGGGCTTTTCTCTGGTACCATAATAAATGTGATACGATATGGTGTGATATGATATGATATGGTACGATATGCTCAGATGTGAGCTGATAGGTTATGGTATGATACGGCTTGATATGGCATGACAGTGTACGGTATGGCATGGTAACGTATGGCACGCTGTTAGACGAAAGTGTAAGATCTCGTTTGGGCATGCGTAATTAGATATGGTGAGATGTGAGCAAATGATAGGATACGACGTGGTATGATACTGTACTCTATAATAGCACACTATATGATTAGACATAGCACGACATGAGCTGTGATGATATGATAGTATATGCATCATTGGATCGTGTATGATAAGATGTGGTGTGATATTGTATGCTAGGTTCTCAGATGATGGGGTATGGCATGATATGAAATGATATGATATGGTGATGCATGTTATAGCTTGGCATGATATGTCATGCTATGATGTGTTATGATGTGATGCGATATGTGTTATGATATGAGTTGATGTGATGCAATGTGATGTGGTATGATATGAGATGGTATGGTGTGATATGGTGGCGTATGGCTCGTTGCGTCGCGACATGATATGGTATGCTATGACATGGTACGAAATGCAATGATCTTGCATGTTATGATCGTATATGATATGGTATGGCTTTGGATTGTGTGATATGGTATGGCGTGTTGTGATATGATATCATATGATACGCCATGGTATACTATGATATGATACGATATTGGGAGGGCACCTTGTCTGCCGCATTTCCGCGCGGGGAAAAGAAAAGGAGGAGGAGGAGGAGGAGGAGGCCGCTAAGGAGGAGAAGGACGAGGAGGAGTGGGAAGAGGACGCTAAGGAGGAGAAGGAAGAGAAGAAGGAAGAGGAGCAGGAAGAGGAGGAGGAGAAGGAGCAGGAAAAGGAGTGGGGCCTGGCTCATGGGGGGGGAGACAAATGACTCGAAATCGGCGATACGATCGGGAACCTTTGCTCAGCGTGTCGCGTCGGCGGCCCCGGCGATGCGCTATGCCCTGCGAGCTGATAGCATGTCGCTCCGCTCCGCGGGGCGGGAAGCAGGGAAAGGCTGGGGACGTTGACGCTTGAGAATGGGGACGTGGTTAGCATGCCGCGCCGAAGTGTTGTGAGCCAGAACAGGCGGCGCGGCACGCTAACCAAAAGTTCCTGACCGCACATCTCCGATAGATGGGCGACGCACAGCGAGGAATGGGCGATCGGGGGTCAATGCTTCCCCCCTTCGGCCGGAAATGGGACAGAAGAATATGTCCCAAGAACATGAGACCCTCCGCCGGCCAGACTGAGGAACATTCGAGGGTACCCTCCCCCAGGATGCACAAGAACATCCAACAAGCACGAAGAGCATGAGGGCATACCCTCCTCGAACCGACCTCGATCTTCTGCCTCGGTCCGACCGTGTATCGTTGCCCCTGACGGCCTCCTCCAGGCGGAGGCCTTCCTCCGCGCGGCAGGCGGCTCTGGAGTCCTCGAGCTCGGAGGCGAGCCTGGCCGCGGCCGCGCTCCGGGCCTCCGCGTCTTCCTCCGGGCAGGCTGCACTAGCCGGGGCTCGAGATGGACGGTGTTGGTCGTTTTCGTGTTGCGTTCGTTTTCCCTCGTTCTGTCTTCGTAACCGCCTTTGCTGCGCAAGGAAATCAAAACGAACATGGTCCACGAGATCGCCAAGGCACCGTTCAGCTCGAGCCCTGAGCTGCACAAGCACAAGCTCTCGGAGGTCTGCGCGGATGCCCTGGATCGGCGCCGGACCCCCTGCGCCAGGTGCAGCGCTGGAGGCCCCGCAGGAGGGGCTTGGGTCTGCGCCGACCCAAGACGCCCGCGCGGACCTCCGAAGGCTTCGCGATGCCGCCAGGAACGCAGAATCAGGAAGGAGTGGGCTTTTCTGGCCACGGCGAGCCTCGGCCACAAGCAGGTCTCCCGACCTAGATCTGAGGAACGGCCCGAGAGCCAAAGGCCCTCCAGAGCCCAGAGTGGGCCTCATTCCTGCGTCTTGACTGCAACCTTTCGGAGGACCGCGCGGACATCTAGGTCGGCGCTGAACCCCCTCCCTGGCGAGCGGAGCGCGCCAGGGGCAGAGCCAGAGGCGTTGCTGGCGGGTCCAGCGCCGACACAAGAAATCCGAGCGGACCTCCAAGCGGTTACGCTTATGTCAATTTCTTCTCCAAGCAGTGCTTGCACATACGGGCTTACTCTTCCAACCCCCGTACTCCCCCTTCCGACCACTTTGCACCGGTTTTCGACAGGGACGGCGGGGGTGCCGGCAGATTGCGTGCCGCGCGCGGGCCTATCATCCCGGTAAAAAAAAAACGGAAATCCACTTTGGCTCAAAATCTGGAGCATGCGCACGACCCTTTTTTTCTGAGCTCTCATCTGTTTCACGACTCCTCAAGATGTCACAACTTGTCCATCGGTGCCAGTGCTTTGCGCTCCCTTGCGGAGCCGCCCTTCCCACAGAATGCTCGACACTTCGCATTAGGGGGGTTCAAGATCCCAAGCTCCTTGGGGCTAGGGCCCCAGGCACCTGGGGTCCCTATTGGTTCCCCGTAACTGGCGCACCTGGCGCGGCTGAAGCACGTGGCACAGTTGGCGCTCGTGACGGATGTGCCGCACCTGGTACGCTTTGGCCTCCAGGGTGCCGCGTGCACCTGGAAGCCGTGGCGCGAATGGCACGTATGGCGTTCCTAAGCGATCTGCGGACACTCGGGTGTCCTTCATGTGGTGGGAGGACAGATGAGGGCAGCTTGACCCCTCCCCCTACCCCCTCCACCTGGGACAAGGCGGGGGGGGGCTCGCGAGTCACTGAGGCGTCCAAGATGGCCTCGGCGCAAAGGCCGAAATCATTGGTATTTCTTTGGGCCTAATGTTGGCATCCTTGGAGGGTGACGCTAAATGAGTACGCCCCTTCGTTGATCGATAACTTCCAAGATATCCCCAAGATGGCCCCCGAGGCTCCTAAGAGTGCCCCAGGAGGGCCCCAATTTGTGACCAGGAGGCCTCACGATGCCCCCAAGATGACCCCAAGATGCCTCCAAGAGGCCCCCAAGAGGCTCCCAGGGGACTCTCAAGAACCCCGAGGAAGCACCCAAGACGGTTCAAGAAGCCCCTGGGACCGCCACGAGGCCCCCATGAGGCCCAAAGAGGCATACAGAAAGCTCTCAAGCGACATCCGAAGAGACTCCGAGAAGCATCCAAGAGGCCTCTGGCCTTTCTGCGCCCTCCTCTTCCTCATCTTCCTCATCTGCCTAATCCTCCTCCTCCCTCCTCCCTCCTCCCTCCTCCCTCCTCCCTCCTCCACCTCCACCTCCACCTCCGCCTCCGCCTCCACCTCCTCCTCCTCCTCCTCCTCCTCCTCCTCCTCCTCCTCCTCCTCCTCCTCCTCCTCCTCCTCCTCCTCCTCCTCCTCCTCCTCCTCCTCCTCTGGTCCTCCTGGTTCCTCCTCCATCCTCTCCCTCTTGGGGTATGACGCCCTCCCACCCTTTACTCCACTGCGTGCTCCCCCACACGCCCAAGGCAGCTCGCCTAGGTCACGCGAAGCGTCTAGAACTGGACGGATGTACCGAGGTTTCGCCACGTTGCCGCCCGTGGCCGCGCGTCGGTGCCGCGTGGGCGCCCCGTGCGCTTGGTGGGTGTGCCGAGGTTTCGCCTGGTGGCCGCCCGTGGGCGCCTCGCGGGCGCCATGTGCGCTGGGTTTGCCGAGGCTTCGCTTGGTACCCGCCCGTAGCCGCACGCGGCCGCCCGTGGTCGCCTCGTGGGGGCCCCGTGCGCTGGGCGAGTTCCCAGAGGTTTTGCATGGTGGCCGCCCGTGGCCGCCTCGCGGACGCTTCGTGGGCGCACCGTGGGCGGCTGCATATCTTGCACCACGGAGCTTGCACCGCACAGCTTGCACCAGAAAGCTTCCGCCACACAGCTTCCACCACGTAGCTTGCGCCACATATCCGCCGGTCCCCCTGGGGGCCACCAGGCTGCGGGGACATGAGAAGGGTTTCCTGTATCCTGCAGCAGCTCCAGCTTCCAGCCCCCAAGGTTATAAATCTAAATGCTGTTTCCTACTGTCAATTGTTACTGCTCGCGCGTGGGGGGGGAGGGAGCGAAAACCCATACATTCACCGTCCCAGAATCACGTCCTCTGAATAATTCCTGTGGGGCCCTGGAACACGTAAAGATACTTGAGATTCGCGCCCCCGAGGCCACGATCACCCATAAACTACTCCAGATTCGCGCCCCCAGGCCACTAGCCCTAGTAGTTAACTGATGACAGGTTTTCGCCTCCGCGGCCCCGAAACCACGATCCCTGGGAAATGACACCAGATTCGCGCACACGAGGCCAGGACCCAAGTACATGAGATTCACGTCCCCGAGGTCACGAGCCGTCGCAAGTTACACCAGGCTGGCGTTCCCGGGGCCACCATCCTTCGCAAATTGCGCCAGCTTCGCGCCTCCGACGCCGCGATCCTTCGAAAATGACACCAGAGTCGCGCCTCCGACGCCACGATCCCACGCAAATGACTTCTGAGATCCGCGCCCTTGAGGTCACGATCCTTTGTAAATTACAGCAGATTCGCGCACCCGAGGCCACGATCCACTTATGACGCGCTCGCGCTCCCGAGGCCAAACTCGTTTGAACTTTGCCTCGCTCGGACGACCGAGGCTACAATCCCTCGCAAATTACGTCGCGTTCGTGCGCCCGAAGCCAGAACCCTTTGCACATTACAACGCACTCGCGCGGCCCGCCGTGACTCCCGCTCTGCGGGCGCATGTTGCTTTTAAGCTAACAAGCAAAACATAAATCGAACAAGCTCGTGGCAAAATAAATGCGCGTTTGTCGCTTACGAGCGAGACAACTGTCACGTCACGAATTTCTTCAACTCACGTTGTGCTTGATAACAGAAAGACAACACAAGTGGGACAATTTCGTGACGAAACATGTGCTTGCTCGGCACTTCCGAGCAACACAAGTAAGCAGATACGATTCTGAAAAAGAGGGGACCAGCGACAGAGGGCGAAGCCCCTACGGATATTGAGTCACACAGCATACACACCCACAGTGCAAGAACTCACTGATCGGGGTCCACGGTGGCAAGCATTGCTGATAGTATTCGTCGATCCTCGCCGCTGCGGGCGGCGCAGGCGAGGCGCGAGCGCAGGGACTCCGCCTCCTCCGCCAGGCCGCGGCAGCGCTGCTCCGCGCCCTCGGCCTCCGAACGCGCCCGCGCGAGGCGGGCCGTAAGGCCAGCCGCCTCCTCGCAGGCTTGGTGGGCGGCGTCCTCGTGGCGCCTCTCCTGCGCGGCCGCCTCCTCTTGCAGGCACAGGGCGCCCTCCTTCAGCTCCTCCAGCGCCCGCTCCAGCCGCCTGCCGTCCTCCTCCCTCCTGCTCGCCGCCTCGTCCGCGGCCTGCCCCAGTTCCCGCAGCGCCTCCGCGCGCTCGCGCAGCGCCTCCTCGGCGGCGGCGACGCGGGCCGCCTCGCCGTCCAGCGCCGCCCGCAGCGCCGCGACCCTGGCGCCCATCTCCGACGCCTGCCTCTCCGCCTCTACAGGAAGAGGCAGACACACGACTCTAAAAACAAAACTTGTCGACGGTCCGCGCGGACCTCCTGGATCTGCGACAACCCCCTCCCGGGCCCGCGGAGTGCGCCAGGGGCGGCGCCGGAGGCGCTGCCAAGGGGGTCCAACGCAGATCCAAGAAATCCGCGCGGACCGTGGAAAATCGATGCCTGTGCCGTTCTCGGGCTCCCCAGGGGCGGAACGCCAGTTCGAGGGACCCGGTCGGGAGCTCCGGGAGTCCCGTTCCTCCGACAGGTCGGGGCCCCAGGATGGTCAGGGACAAACGCTTCTCGGCCCGGGGCACGGAGCCTCGGAGCCGGTGGCCAGTGCCTGGGCGCGCTCCGCGTCGTGCTCCTCCCGCCACCTCTCCGCCTCCGCCCCCAGCCGGCCGAGCGCCTCCTCGGCCTCCGCGGCGGCCTCCCGCGCGCCCGCGGCGTCTTCGGCGCGCAGGGCGGTCACGCGGCTCACCTCATCCGCAAGCGCCGCGGCCTCCTACAGGAGAGAAACCAAAACCAAGGAGACCGAGAACCTTACACGAAGCGAACAAAACAAAAAGATAGGAAAGAAACTGCATGCACACGAACCTTCTGAGAACGAGCTCCAAGATGGCCAGACGGGATCCTTTTTCACACTACCCTCGGCTCGCGCAGCACACCGATCGGAAGGTTTCGCTCGCCGCTGTCGGCGAGAGCCTGGGCCCAAGCAGCCACGAGAGGCACAGGCCCAAGAAAAAACACCCCCTCAAAAAAGGGAGGGTTGGGATGGGAAACTAGAGCCAATACGTTATGGACATCTATTCTGCACCTGCTATGCATGCTGCCCCACCCCCTCCAGTCTCTCAGGCCCGAGGGGGGGGAGGTTCAAGCGCTCAGGGCCACTAGGCCCCGAGCGCTACACACGGCCTGCACCTAGAGCTCTCTAAGAAAGCCCGTTAACAAACATGTATTCTGAGAACGAGCTCCAAGATGGCCAGACGGGATCCTTTTTCACACTACCCTCGGCTCGCGCAGCACACCGATCGGAAGGTTTCGCTCGCCGCTGTCGGCGAGAGCCTGGGCCCAAGCAGCCACGAGAGGCACAGGCCCAAGAAAAAACACCCCTCACCCCGCAACCTCGGGTTCTCACTTAAAGACTGGGACTGGGGGGGTGGGTGCGTCAGCACTGATATATAAAGAGTGAGGAGAAGGGGGAGGAGACAATTTGGCTCAAGGCGGGAGGCCACAGTGCTTGGCACGCCGCCGCGTCTCAGGCTGCCGGGTCCACGGGCTCCATGGCCTGGCCGGCGTCAGATCCTGCGATGTACGTCAAGCCCCGCGATGCTGCAGATCGCCATGGGCTCTGAGTGGGGATGCTCTTCAGCGTCGAGCTCAGATCATGAAGGGCCCTGCGGCCCGCGTCCTTAATCTTCGCAGGTAACCGTGCGTCATGAACGATAAGAGAATGTGGCTTCGCATACCTGGCCATCGACTTGGCTTGTGTCCACCGTCCGCGTCTCTGAACTTCTTGAATTGAGCGTCTCTTGTGCAAGATATCGTAGCTCGGTCCGCTGTGTCTCAACGTATGCATCGGTCCGATCCACTCAAGTCCGAACTTGGATTGGATGCCTCTCCAGACTGAAGTTGCTTTGGCAGCTGTGGTATTGAAGACCTTGTCGGTCGGTTTGATCTGCTTGACACGCTCCGCCAGGATGTGTGAGAGAAGACCGCTGTCAATCGCCACTCCTTGCTCTTGACCTGTCTTGACGCTCTCACCTCTGTGTCTCCGTCCAAGAAGTAGCGCCACTTTGATCCCACCAGCTGCATGCTGAGTGTCGTCACTTGGCAGATCATTGAAATACGTTTTTCCACTAACATGAACGTCTTCACCTTTCAGCTGCAACCAATCCTGTTCTCGAAGATAACAATCGTACGCTACAAGAAATGCTATCCCCTCGTCTACGTGGCCTGATTTGATCGCCTCGGATGATATGAAATAGATTGCTTCGGCAGAGGCTGGGCCACCTTCCCAGGACTCCTGGAGCTTCTCCCAGCTATGCAAAGCACGCAAGGAGATCGGCAGCTCAGACTTCCACTCTGGAAACAGGTGGACCAGCCCATGGTACAATCGAACTCCTCTTGACACCGAAGCCCTCTCCACGAAGCACATGTGGTCTAACTCCGCCGCAAGGGTGATGTCACGCTCGGCCGCCGTGGCAAAAGGAAGCCTCTTGAGACGCACCCTCACAAGGAAGGGCTCCACCTCCTTGATGTAGCACACGTTAGTGTTGTCCTGAACTGCGTGAACGAGAAGCCGCAGAGGTACTTCCAGCGTGCCCGAGCCCAGGCTGGTTCTCGACACTGGGGGCTCCCGAGCAGCATTCTCGAAGGCGAGGGGGCCTTTCTTGTTCTGAGGAACGTGAGCTCGTTGCTTTCTTTTCTTTTTGGCCGTCTTTTTGACTGTCACCGCTGCTTCGAGAGCTCCTGCGAACATTCCCACGTCATCAGCAGCCTGCCCATCTTCACTGTCGAAGGTGTGGTCGCCGTCAGCCTGGAAGCTCTCGTCCTGGTCTGTCGGCTCCGTGTCTGCAGTTGCCGTGGCAGTGATCTCTGGAGCAGAGGCTAGAATCAGGATCGTCGTCATAAATGCCAGGCCAGGTCGTAGTCGTCGCGCATGCCCCTGATCTCCAGCATGTCCCCGAAGAGCCTCTCGAACTCGAAGTCGCTGTCCATCACGCTCTTCTTCTGCTCGGACTTGGTCTTGGTGATCTCGGCGCTGCCTATCTCCTCGCCTCTCGACGGGCCGTCGGCCGGGTTCATGTCTGTGGGTATCCACCTCAGCGTCAATCGGATACCGGTGGCCAGCGTGATCGCACCGATCTTCTTCAGCTGCGTCATCAAAGGTCGCGAAGAGCTCCGCATCTTTCTGACTGCGCCCACCGTCACCATAGAGTCGCACAGGACCAGGACTCGGCTGAACCAGTTCTTTGACGAGCGACACAGGTGACGAGATACCGACGCGACCGTCCTCATTTCCTGCACATTGATGTGATCGTGATACGCCCATACCCCTTTCCACGCTAGATACCATCGGGATACTTTGGCCCAGTGACTCATGACTGCGACTGGCTTCGGCGATGCGCCTCGGAGTTCTCGCATGCGCCAGTCGTGCAGCTTCAGCTCGTTGTTGGACACGGCCTTGGCCACACACGAGGCATAGGCCTTGCACAGGCGTGGCGGGTAGGCTGCTGCCAGGCGCGTCCAGAGTCGCCCTTGAGAGTCGCGTCCCCGCAGCTCCTGATGATCGTGATCCTGAGAGCACTTGCATTCGAGCTCCTCCAGCGCCTGCACGTTGGTCACTATCCGAGTTGGCTTCTTCCATCGGGCTCCGAAAGCACAGTACACCATCTCCACTACGCGAACTCCATCCATCGTCAGCAACTTCGCCATGTCGGGGAGGTCCCAGATCATCGAGGTCCTGGGGTTCTCCAGTGAAAAGCCCGTCCCCGATGCCAGGCACGCGTAGCAAATCGAGATCGCTGCCTGGGCCAGAGCGTTGCCTTCCCGTACTCTCTGCACCTGCTGAGGGGAAAGACCTGGGAGACCACGAATCCAACGGCCTGGAGCTCGCAAAGGGGGTCGACGTGCCCGCGAGAACGTGGAGCATGGAGGGGCCAAGTGGACCATGAAGAAGAGGGGCCGAAGAACGGCGCGACAGACGAGCTCGACGAAGGACGAGTCCAGCAGGTCGTGGCGCGCCTCCCGTGCGTTGTCCACGAACAGGGTCTGGCACTGCAATTCCTCGCGGATCGCCTGCCCGAAGCCGCCGTACCCCGAGAAAATGTCGGCCATGAATTTCATCGGAGGGACCTCGCCATCGGACACCACGGGGGGGATGCCTCGTCTGGCTCGCTCGAGGTTCTCGCCACTGAGCAGCTCCTCCTCCGCCTCGTCCCTGGCCATGTCCCGAAGATGGTCGGCTCTCCACTGTCGGTTGACCTCGGCTCGGACTTCTTCCCGGCTCGCCGCCGTCTCGACTACCCCTAGGCCCTCCTCGCTCGCATCCGTAGCAAAGACACTGGAGCTCCACTTCGACTCCAAGTGGGTATACATCAGGGGGGCCAGGTGGTAAAGCATGTACAGCTCGTTTGTCACGCTCTCCCACAGGATGTGAACCTGATCGTCGTCGCCGTACTTCGTCACGAACTTGTAGCACGCGTCCAGCATGCAGAAGGCGGCCCGACAGCACATCGCCAACCACACCCACGACCCAATTATCCTTGATAGCTCGGTTGGCGTCGCTCGACCTCGGTCCAAAAGGGCCTTGGTCGCACCAATGACATCCTTAACCTTCTCCTGAGCTGCCATCAAGCGATGAGGGCGCTGAGTGATCGTCACGCCCAGAGAGAGGGGCATCGCTGCCCCGACTCCGTCTTTGTGCATGTCGAGGCCCACCTCCTTGAGCTTCTTCCCAGCGTGTTCGCGGACTGCCTCCGCCACCTCGCTCATCTCGTCCTGCTGCAAGGTCATCGAGGCGAAGTCGTCCATGAACACCCAGTAGATGAAGGCCGTCTCGGAGAAGCTGGGGGGCACGCGCCCGTGGACCAGCTGAGCTCCCCGCGGGAAGCCAGGTAGATCGCACAGAAGGTCCTCCAGAGCACCATGACAGATCGCTGGTGACCAGCTGAAGCCCATCAGCATCACCACCAGGCACAGGTAGCGGGCCCCCTTCGGGACCGCCGGCACCCCTTTGCCCTGGCGCTTGAGCTCCTTCAAAAGCTGGGGGATCGTCACGCCTCCGAACACCATGTGCGGCCACAGCTCGCTGCAGCTCTTGCATCTGTGAAAGTAATCTGGCACGTCTCCCCACGTTGACTGCAAGACTCTGCCATCTGTGATCTCGTCGGACAGGTCCAGCTCCGCCATCGCCATCGGAGACCCAAGAGAAAGGTGAGGTGGCTTCTGAAAACGCTTGTTCACCTGCCTCAGGTCCCAGACGGGCCGGAGAATGAACTGGCCTGCCTCGTTGACTTTCTTCATGACGAAGAAGACCGAGACCTCCGCCCTGCAGATGTCCGTGAAACCGAGCATGCCTGACTCCCATAGTCTCAGCGCGAACTGGAGGCGAGCTGACCTGCTCCTCAAACTGGGGTCCATGTAGGCTCTCGTCTTCTCGATGTCGGCCTCGTCGACCTGGCTGGGCGGCAGGCACATCCTCTCGTGAAATCGGTCGAAGTAATATCTCGCTTTTGGTGAAATCATCCTTATGTTGCACGGCTGCGTCCCCGCTGGAGGCAGAGACGCTTCGCCGCTCACGAAGGGCATGACCTTCCCTCGTTGCGGCACGTCGTCGTCGTCCTTGTCTGATACACTGAAGCCCGCGTAGGTCCCAGGCTTGGCATGCAAGGCCAGCCGCTCGAAAGCGGACTCGGCGTCGGAGTCGTACATCTTCTGATCGTGCGCGCCCCTGCGGCACTGCAGCACCCTCTCGGAGATCCTGCGCGGCAGCTCGTGGCTCGTGTCCCACTCCTTGGAGGATCCGAAACTGGAGTCCCGCAGGTCGTGGTATGAGTTCGTCGTCAGCGCGGCTAAGGACCTCAGAGCGGCGTTCGTCCTGACCCTGATCGCTCGCTCCTGGGCGAAGCGAGACCTCGACCGCCCCGAAGGAGACGAAAGGGGAGACGGCGCTGGCAGGAGCGGCAGCACCTCCAAGGGGTCGCGCACTCGACCCTCTGATGAGAATTCGACCTCCGCTCTCATCGTGATGAGAAATTAGGAAAATAACGCTGTGCAAGTTGTGGTAGATGTGGGCAGCCTCCAAGACGATGGCTGCCAGGGGAATGCGCTTCGCGAAGCGCCTGAATCGTGAGCACCTCCCAGCTGTCAGTCGTCCTTGCTTGTTGAGTGCTTCTTGTCCTGCAGCTTGTCGAGGGACTTGGCGAGAAGGGCGCGGTGAGCCAAGCGTTCGCGAAGCTCCTTTTTCCACGCCGTCGATGAGAAGGCCATCCTGATCCGACTTGGTCGTGTCGAGCTCCTCCAACAGGGCGTAGTTGACGCGAGACTTCCAGCCCGCCTTGGAGCCGTTGGGCGGCTTCCAGTCCGACCTCTGCTTGACGTTCTCGAAGGCCCTCTCGATGCCGTGGAGGCGCCGCATCGCCAACTCCGTCGTCTTGTAGTTGATCCAGTCGGCTGGCGCCTCCACCATGGATCGGTCGAGCATCATGCTGATGAGGAGGGCCTCCTCCGCCATGTGGTTGCCGTCCAGCTGCTTCGTGCGAATCATCTCCCTGATGCTCGCCACCGCTGAAGCCCCACTGCGGTACAGGCGCGCCACCATTGACGGGGCCACTCGCGTCTTGATGCCCCCTGGGATCGTCCACGCCACGTCGCTGGAGTAGGCCTGCAGCTTCTCCTTGGCGACCTCGCGCATGTCCTTGAAGGAGTCGTCCAGGCCCTTGACCAGCGAGTCGATCTCCGGGTTGGACGTGGTGCTGACCACCCGCTGCTCGGACCCGCCGGCGGTCACGGCCGTGCTGTCCTGCTCCACCATCTCCTTGTGGCGGTCCAGCCTCTGAAGGAGGGCCCCCATCATCTGGTCGTAGCTGTCCGCGCCGATCCCAGGCTTCGCTGGGGCTTGAGGTGCTGATGGCGCTGGAGTTGGCTGAGGAGGCTCCGTCGGGCGCGACGCCTGCCTCTCCTCGAGAGCGGAGAGCCTCTCGGCCACCAAACCCAGCTGCCTCAGAACTTCGCCTCCCACCGAGTCCGACTCCTCGGCGTCTGACACCTGAGTGCCTTCGTCCCTGGGAGTCGATGATCCCGACTGGCTGGGAGACGGTGTGGCCGACCACGAGGGCCAGCTCCAACCAGGAAGCGCGGGAGCTGAGGCACCAGAGGAAGTTGTGGGCGATGGCGCAGGCGAGGGGCGAGAGGACCTGCAGCACGACATGAGGAAGCCACTCACGAGCATCACGCCCACTGAGAAGTAGAGAGGCTCGAGAGCTCCTGACTCGTGCATCTCGAACACCGTCTCGATCTCCTCCCTGAAATACTCCACCGTGTCCACGGTCTCCTTCAGCGACGAGTAGCCCCACTTCACCCACTCCACCACGTTGAGGTAGACGACAGCGCGCCACAGCACGAAAGTCGAACCCGCCGCCGTGCCTAGGCTCCGGCGGGCCCAAGCGTAGCCCGCGATGTTGGAGCCCAGCTTCAGTAGCCACGACACCGCGTGGCGGCGGTGGGACCTGCGGCCCGCGGCGCCTCCACCTCGAGGATGGTGGTCCCTGGTGATCTTGCCTGTCGTCGATGCGGACCCCGTGGCGATGATACGGTCGGCCGCCTCGACGGCCTTCTGCTTCTCCGTCGCCGAGAGGCCCTGGAAGGTGCCGTGGTTCACGCCCGCGAACTTCGTCGACTTCACCTTCGCGGGCTGCCCGAGGTCGAGGACCTGGAGCCTGCCCGTCGGGTCGATGCAGACCCATCTCTTCTCGCCCAGCGTGGAGCTGAACTTGCTGACCAGGAGCATCGTGAGACCCTGGTTGGAGTCCGCCCTCGGGCGGTAGTAGATCCTGTTCCATCGCTGGAAGGGCATAGGCTGCCCCTCAGGCTCGTCCTCGCACGGGTCGACGTCCTCGGCGTCGACGCTGGGCTCGTCGAAGGGCGACTCCGGCTCGGGCTCGCCGTCTCCCAGCAGCAGCGGGGAGCCTGACAGCACGCCGCCGAACCCGCCCGAAGCGTAATCCAGCAGATCCTCGAAAGCGTCCTCCTGCACCAGGGCGGTGCCGAGCACGCACGCGGCGAGCCAGGAAAGGCGCGTCGTGGCTGCAATCCCGCGCGCGCTCAGAGGGAGGCGCGAGAGGGCTGCTGCTCGTTGAAACTTGAGCCAATACGTTATGGACATCTATTCTGCACCTGCTATGCATGCTGCCCCACCCCCTCCAGTCTCTCAGGCCCGAGGGGGGGGAGGTTCAAGCGCTCAGGGCCACTAGGCCCCGAGCGCTACACACGGCCTGCACCTAGAGCTCTCTAAGAAAGCCCGTTAACAAACATGTATTCGGAAGCCCGCGCGGGCTTTTTCGGCCAGCGCTGGGCCCCCACCCGAGCGCGGGGAGCGGGCGCCAGAGGCGCCGCCCATTGGAGGGGAGGGGCCAGCGCCGACCCAGGAAGCCCACGCCCGCGCAGACCTCCGAAAGCCGACGATTCTGCGATTAGTTCTTCGTCCCCCTCCTCCGGCGGCGCAACTGCGTCCGCGACGCACCCCCTCCCCAGGCATCTCGACCTCTTCCCGGGCACCAGCTCTCCATCTGGAGTCGCTTTTGTTGACGGTCCTGGTGCCAGGAGACGGCCCCTGGAGGGCGAATACCGGCAAAAGACGGGCCGAAACACTCTTCCCTGTGCGACGCCCCCGATCTGAGAGGCTCGATCCTCCCGCGCCCTCGCCAGCGCCTCCTCGCCGCCGCGCGCCTCCTCCGCGCTCCTCGCCCTCAAGCCCTCCGCCTCCGAGCATTATTGAACCGATCCCTGTCCCCACCGGCGTGGCATAGGCCCCACTGGCCGACTTACCCACCCGGACGGGGATACATGCTCCAGGGCTCCGAGCCCACGAGCCCCAGCCCCAGATGGGATGGGTCCCAAAGCCACGCGGGCCACCCCAGCTGGGATGGGGGAGGACGACGACGACGACGACGACGACGACGACGACGACGACGACGACGACGACGACGACGACGACGACCTGTCGCTCCCTGAAGCACTGCCAATACTGCGCCACACCCAAAGGGAGACAACGACGACATCGACGGCGGCGAGGAGGGTGCGCCACCCCAGACCCACAGGGGGAGGACCCATCGGGGCGGGGAGAAGGGCCCGGTCCCATGAGCATTGGAGGGGAGAGGTGCCCAGGCCCTGGACTACATATGCCTGTCCATTCGGGTCTCGCGAAACCCATCCCCACCTGGGAACGCGGGGCTGGTGGCGTCGAGATGCCACGGCACAGTGGGGACGGGGATTTCGTGAGCGAAAGAGACCTCCGTATCTGCGGCCTCGCGGGCCAGACCTCTGGGCAGCGACCCCGCGGCGACGGGGCGTTTTTCCGGGGATGCCCCGCACGGGACGCACCCGTGCGAAAGTGTACCCGCGCGACCGCGCCCCGGAATCAAGGAGCGGATGTGGATACTTTCGGCGGTCGCTGGGATCGGTCAGACGATGCGGAAAGCCTCGGCGCGCAGCGAACGCCCGCTCGGTTAGGGATGGGGATCGGTCGTGGGGAAGCCACAAGGCACCCATTGCGGTACTCCCCCGCCATCTCCCGTGGCGCGCTCTGACCAGATTTTCGAGGCGAATCCAGCGGTCGCGACGAAGGCCTCCCAAGAGGCCCACAAAGGCGGAAACGAGGCCAGGGTAGTGGTATTGGTATTTTGCCCTCCTCTGACCTCTGGGTCGCGCGTGGCCTATCCCCACCAGGGAGGGGTGGGGCTGGCGGGGCCGAGGTACCATGGCACACTGGAGATGGGCGGAAGGCACCAACTACGGTGGCGGCATTGGATAAGGAACCTTTAGATAAGAAATCCAAGGTCTGGAAGCTGGCTTGGCCATGGATATCATCGCCGCCCTAACCAGACAAAGAATCGTCCAGTGTTTGAACGAGCGCCCCGACCGTCAACGCTGACACCGATCCTGGCCAGGCCCATCCTGCGCCCAGGATCGGCGCATGCGCCTTCCTGGCTTGGCCAGGGAAGCACATGCACCGATCTTGGGCCCAGGATGGGCCCCAGGCCTGGATCAGCGGTTACCGCGGGATCATGCCGCGTCGACCCTGGCGTCCTGATGGATCAATGTTCTACCACCACTACCATAGGTAGGATGGGGGAGAAGGGAGGATGGGAAGGTCAACTCCTCCTCCTCGTCCTCCTCCTCCTCCTCCTCCTCCTCCTCCTCCTCCTCCCCCCCCTCCTCCTCCTCCTTCCTCCTCCTCCTCCTCCTCCTCCTTCTCCTCCTCCTCCTCCTCCTCCTCCTCCTCCTCCTCCTCCTCCTCCTCCTCCGCCTCCTCCGCCTCCTCCGCCTCCTCCGCCTGTATCACCTGACGGGTCAGAATCAATATGTGCTTGAGAGGACTCATCCAAAGGCTGCTGGTAAATTAATCTGACCACAAGAACCCAGATGAATCCCACCAGCCCTCTGGGCGTAGGTGGTCTAGAGCAGATCCTCTTCCACCCCTCCCTCTTCCCCCTTGGGGAGGGGTTTACCCCTCCCCCTACCCCCTCCCCTGGACCTGGACGGGGGGGGCCGCGGGTAGTTAGAGCGTCCAAGATGGCCCAAGACGGCTCCAAGAGCGCCTCAGAGAACCCAAGATGAGCTCCAAGATGGCTCAAGATAGCGCAAGATCGCTCACGATGGCTCCTAAGATGGTTCCAAGAAGCCCAAAGACGGCCCCAAGATAACTCCAAGTGGCCAAACAGCTCCCCAAGGAGGCCCCGAAGAGGCCAAAATCGTCCCAAAACCTAAGGAAAATCAATGATTTTTGCTTTCTCGCCTTTTCGCTTCCGATGGCCATCCGAGGCCTGGAGATGGCTCCAAGATGGCCCAAGAGGGCCCCAAGAGAGCCCCAAAAGAGCCCCAAGACGGCCCCAAGAGCGCCCAAGAGCACTCCAAGAGCGTTCCAAGAGGGGTCCAAGAGGCGATTTTAGGGGCTTCCGAGGGGGGCGCTAATTAAACCCCCCCTCTTGTTTGATCGACTCCCTCCAAGATGGCCCCAAAAGCGCCCCGAAGGCTCCCCAGAGCGCCTCAAGAGGGTCCCAAGAGGCGCCCAAGATGCCCCAAGGCGCCCAAAAAGCCCTCCAAGAGGCCCTCAAAAGACCCCCAAGAAGCTCCTTCCCCTCCTCCTCCTCCTCCTCCGATTCTTCCTCCTTCTCCGTCCTCCTCCTCCTCCTCCTCCTCCTCCTCTTCCCCCTCCTCCTCCTCCTCCTCCTCCTCCCGACGACGACGACGACGACGACTCCTCTTCCATCCTCCCCCTCTCGGGGTCTGTGACAGCTTCCCCCGCCCTTTGTTATTCTGCATGCTCCCCGACTTCCCTGATCACCTCAACTCCCCTGAGCATCGTTTCTGGATGGGCTGGTGGGGATACGCGAAGCGTCAACAATTTGTTATTCCCCACATGCATAGTGGGGTTATGGTTTTCTTTCCCTGCCGCGTCGCACCCGCGTTTCTCCTCTTCCTCCTCACCCCTCCTTCCCTCTTCCCTCCACAAATCCAGGGGCTGGTGTGATGATTCCCTCTCTCTTTTTTTCTGGTTCCCCACATCAGCAGAAGCAGACACATGAGCACACAGCAGACACACATCCACAGTCGACATCACAGTCATCACATACATCCACCATACACGCAGCACACAGACACACAGCACACAAACAGCACCCGTACACAATACCAGCACAAACAGACACAGCACGCACACGCAGCAAACAGGCAAACAGCACACAGACGTGCAGGGGGTGGTCTCTCACCGCGGTTCTCTATCCGTCTCAGGGTCGCGGGGCGTGGCAGGCGTGGCACTTTCTCGACGCCAGAGAGGGTGCGCAGGGGGTGGTCTCTCACTGGTCTCTCTATCCGTCTCAGGGTCGCGGGGCGTGGCAGGCGTGGCACTTTCTCGACACCAGAGAGGGTGCGCAGGGGGTGGTCTCTCATTGGTCTCTCTATCCGTCTCAGGGTCGCGGGGCGTGGCAGGCGTGGCACTTTCTCGCCACCAGAGAGGGTGCGCTGGGGGTGGTCTCTCACTGGTCTCTCTATCCGTCTCAGGGTCGCGGGGCGTGGCAGGCGTGGCACTTTCTCGACACCAGAGAGGGTGCGCAGGGGGTGGTCTCTCACTGGTCTCTCTATCCGTCTCAGGGTCGCGGGGCGTGGCAGGCGTGGCACTTTCTCGACACCAGAGAGGGTGCGCAGGGGGTGGTGCGCAGGGCGTGTCTTTCTCACATCTCTCTATCCGTCTCAGGGTCGCGGGGCGTGGCAGGCGTGGCACTTTCTCGACACCAGAGAGGGTGCGCTCTCACAGGTCTCTCATCCGTCTCAGGGCGTGGCAGGCGTTGCACTTTCTCGACACCAGAGAGGGTGCGCAGGGGTGGTCTCTCACTGGTCTCTCTATCCGTCTCAGGGTCGCGGGGCGTGGCAGGCGTGGCACTTTCTCGACACCAGAGAGGGTGCGCAGGGGGTGGTCTCTCACTGGTCTCTCTATCCGTCTCAGGGTCGCGGGGCGTGGCAGGCGTGGCACTTTCTCGACACCAGAGAGGGTGCGCAGGGGGTGGTCTCTCACTGGTCTCTCTATCCGTCTCAGGGTCGCGGGGCGTGGCAGGCGTGGCACTTTCTCGACGCCAGAGAGGGTGCGCAGGGGTGGTCTCTCTACTCAGGGTTCGTCGCACTTTCTCGACCAGAGAGGGTGCGCAGGGGGTGGTCTCTCACTGGTCTCTCTATCCGTCTCAGGGTCGCGGGGCGTGGCAGGCGTGGCACTTTCTCGACACCAGAGAGGGTGCGCAGAGGGTCGTTTCTCATTGGTCTCTCTATCCGTCTCAGGGTCGCGGGGCGTGGCAGGCGTGGCACTTTCTCGACACCAAAAGGGGGGGCAGGGGGTAGTCTCTCACTGGTCTCTCCATCTGTCCCTGGGTCGCGGGGCGTGGCAGGCGTGGCATGTTCTCCACTCCACAGGGGGTGCGCAGGGGGTGGCCCGTCACCGCGGATTCTATCCGTCCCAGGGTCGCGGGGTGTGGCAGGCGTGGCATTTTCTCCGCGCCACGGGGGGTGCGTAGGGGGCAGGTATCGCGGGTGCATTCCATCAGTTGCACTTGCATGGGTTTGCGCAGTATCCAGATCTGTAAGTACTCTGGCCCAAGCCAGCTCGGAGCGCCAGGGTACCTAATCGAAGGCCGCAGTTGGTTGTTGCGCAGGCGCGCTAGCCATGCCGCCTAAAATTGCCATGGGCGAGCTGCCGCCTCCGTGCTTGTCGCTGAAGAAAGAAATGATTCAGAATGGCGGCGAGGTAAGCTTGGCAGGCTTACGCTGCTGCTCTGAAGCGACGGTGGTCCCCGCATTTCACGCGCACCGCCGCCAGCTGAAAAATTGGTGGCCCAATACCTTGCACGTCCAGGGCACAGCGGTATCGGCGGGGCAACGGCCACCAACATCATTCTCACATGCTTCACTTCAGCTCTCATCACTCCAGCCATAATATAAGTATGTGGGGTTCCTCGGTAGCGTAATCATGGCATATCGGGCCAATTCGCGGTCATCATCCACTCCACAATTGAACGCACCGTGCCCGTGGATTTGATCCCGGTCACAAAAGAGTGACTGACACGAGCCTGCCCGCAGAAGCTTCGAGCACAGGACGACAGCAGCTGACAAGAAAACTGAAGACGACCGTAATGAAACACAACGCAAAGCATGGATGTGCATTCAATGGCGCCCTCCTGCAGGCAGGCGTGGCATCACCAGATCAGCGCCAAACT